TTTTTAACTCTTGCATGAGCTGGCATTAAAGTAGGACAGAGTTTATTAAATTACACTCTGTCGCCTAGTCAAGACATAGATATAAGAAAATAAACTTATCAAAATCTTAAACTGATGTGAAATTCTTATTTCAATTAGGAGCATTTAGCAACTCTCTTCAAAATCTCTCTGTAATATTGAAATGGAGGAAATATTCATGTTCTTCAATATGTAAACAGTGATGTGATTTCCCTTGAAATGAACATTTAGAGGTGTTTGTTTTCCTCCACTAGACTTCTCTATAGAAATATGTGACTATGGACTCTGTAGAAGAAAAAGTGCTACACTAGTCAATACTTAAGTATTGTAGTCAACTTTACATAGGGACTCAGGTGTGAGGAAATGGTTACTTATATTAATAAAAACATTCTATCTCTTTCAATATTTTTTGAGAGAGAGACAGAGAGAGCAAGCAAGAGAGAAAGAAACATCTATGTGAAAGAAAAACATTGATTTGCTGCCTCCTGCATGCTCCTTGACCAGGGATGGAACCCAAAACCTGTGTGCTCTGGCTGGGAATCCCTCCAACCAACTGAGCCACAGGGCCACTTCTTCTTAAGAAAATAAGTGGTCTAAAGGGCCACTTTGAGGAGAAGAGGAGAAGAAAAGCTTTCTGCCCTGACATGTATTAGGGTTCTTCCTATTTTATACACATGATAAATTACCTATATTCCTGTTGAATAGGCAAGATCTAGGAAGAGAAAGAAAATCATGGCTATATGAACATATCTCATTCTATTACTACTTCCAAGGAGATGTGCTCTTTATTTTCAAGACTGATATGCAAATTTTAAAACTACTTGAAGTGCTAATTTTATATATGCATTGATAAGAATTTTAAAAAGCTGAGTTATCAACTACAGAAATTATTTCAAGAAATTTTCAAAGGGGAAAGTCATGAAAGTGTTAGCATGAATGCGTTAGCTTAATGAAGCTTTTATCTTTATAGACACCTTAGGTCATGTCAATGGAATGGACAACTTTTATTTGATACGCAAAATAAAAAAGTTAAAAAACCCAGTAAAACATATTTTTATACCTGCTAGATGATCAGTTGATGCTTTGATTTTTCTCCCTTTTTATTTTGTGGATATTTAGTTAGATGGTGCACTGTAATGCTGGTTACGCAGCAAAAATGAAAATAGTCCCTTTGTATTTCTTTACATAAGAGAACCTGGGGCTGATTTTCAGTAGCTAGGTTCTAGTGTGACCAGCTGTCATAACTAAAGGGTTAATGCCTGATAGAACAGGAATTCTCAGGGCTGAGATACAGGTAGGTCTATTCCACAGGTGGGTGTCTATGTTGTGCCTTCCCAGTTGCTAAATGAACACCACACCTGCTTTAGAGTACCCCAGTAACACACACACTACACACACTTTACCTGGATACTTACTTTTTACCTTTATAAGTGTCAATTATGGCAACTTTGTTTATATCATCTTTTCCACTGAAAACTTGATAAACTCCATCTACAGTGTTGTTGTACTGAAAAGACATGTACAAGAACAATTATTTCTAGAACAACCCATATTCCCCAAGTTATAAAATATGTAATTAACTCACTTTTGCATGTCTCAAAGACTGGCTATCCATAATTATTTTATATAATTTAAAAAATATATATGCAATAAAGTTTTAAAATTATTGGTCTTTAACAGGTTAAAAAGATAGAATATAAAAGGTGCCAAGGAATAAGTGCTAGATGATGAGACAAAGGAAGAAAACATATCGGAAGTTGATATAACCCAGACTCTAGTACTCTTTTTCATAATTAAACCAGTAAGACAATTTCGATTACTATTCCTATTATATTGAGGTCAGGGAATATAGAACAAAATCTATGAGAATAATGACAGATTTCTAGTTATTTTAAATGTTATGATCTTTAATAAGTGGTTACAAAAAATTAGATATATAAAATTAAAATCAAAATTACCCAATAATATTTGAGTTAAAAAATAGTAACTGACTCTCTGATCCCTTAAGGCTGTCTACATTGATACTTAATTGATAGATAATGTTGCAATGATAAGCACTATCTAAAATTAAAATAACAACAATGAACTGGAGAATATAACTAATATCACAAAGAGTGCCAAATCATTGTCAAAATTCCAGTTCAAGGGTCGGCTTGTCCTATTTATAATTCAAAATATTAAGCTATAGATAAATCTATCACTAAGTTCACATTTTTCTTAATCTCTAGACTATAATTTCATGACATTTATAGACACTAGAAGCTCTTATTAATAAACTCCATAAAATAGGACATTGCTCAGTTATCAATCTCTTGTGTGCAAATTTAGGCTTTAAATTTACATTAAAACTATTTGTAAGAGATCTAGAGAAGGAGAAACAATAACACAATTAAAATTTTGGTATTAAATTTGATTTTCTGAGAGGGTAAATCAAAACTGAAAGTACTGTTCAAAGCCTTACCAGCTTATAACCTAATTTTAGATAAATTGTATATTTATCAAAGAATAAAATCCTGATTAAATATCAGCCTCTTAATTTTAAATTTGTTAAATTTAGGTAAGTAAATGTTATGAATTTGGAAAACTGAAACCATGTGATATAAAGACTTTAAAAAATTAGAATGTATATCCCCAGATAATAAATAGAGTTAAATTTCCAATGCCATTATATTTATCCAATTAAAGTATAACAATATTGACATTTATATCTGGTACTCACAGGAAAAAACACACCAATTGTTTTAACAATAGGGTATGGTACCAAATTCAAGAATGGATCCTTATAGCCCCACAATAGTTCCTTCACACTTCTCTTTTGAAACAGTGATGACTTTGACTTTTTGATAAGGGAATTGAGTACCACTTGAACAATTGAATTTGGATAGAGATGGGGTACAGCCTACAAAAAAAAAAAGTGCTGTTTAAGACACCATTTGCAATATTAAATACTTAACAAATAAATGGAGTAAGTAGCAGAATTAAGTTTAACAAAATTTAAAAAACTGTATTTCTAAAATTACTGCCAAATCTTGCCAGAACTAAAACTGTAATTTTTCTAGTCCCTATATGAGTACATTTGAGTGCCTCAGTTTCAGCCACAAGAAGAAGACATTCCAAGTTAAGTCCTATTGCCTGGCTGGTTGAGCATTCACCTATGAACCAGGAGGTCAGGGTTCAATTCCTGGTCAAGGCACATGCCTGGGTTGTGGGCTCAATCCCCAGTAGGGGGCAAGCAGGAGGCAGCCGATCAATGACTCTCATCATTGATGCTTCTCTCTCTCTCTCCCTCTCCCTCTCCTTTCCTCTCTCTGAAATCAATAAAACATAAAAAAAAAAAAACCAAAAAAAACCCAAAAAAGTTAAGTCCTATTTTTTTAAATGATAGGCTTTAAGTGGTCTTCCAATTCAGTTGATTTTTTTCATCTTTTCTAATGACCAAAACTCCATTCAAATAAAGACATAGGAACAGAATAAATACTATCTAATAATAGTTCTAATCATGACATTAATTATAGCAGATTCTAGAGCATTTCAGAATAATATTTTGTCTACTCACAGCTACAGCCAGATTGAGAACAGTGAAATTGTCAGTCTCTGGTCCAACTGACAGTTCAGGTTCAAAGATGGCACTATTGGGCTGTACAAAATAGACTGTGTTGTTCATGGTGTCATGGGTTATATTTTCCTTGGCTAGATAACGAACTCTGAAATAAGGAATTAAATAAAATTCAAAATTGTGTGAAGTGAACATGAGGACTCAAATGCCATTCATTTGTACAAATACTTTTTCAGTACATAGAATATATCAGAAATTATGTTAAACAATTGGGTTAAAATGATAAAGAATCCAATGCTGGTCTCTAGCAAATTAGAGAAGGGGGTCTTGAATTTACATAGCAGGGGGGAAGTAATATGTGTTATTACAGGAATTTACACAGAGTTCATGGTAAAACACAGGACAGATACAAATCCAGGCTTGGGATAGTCATGGAAGACACATTTTGTAGCAATACTACATAAGTGGTCTGAATTACAAATAGAAGTTCAGTTAAATAAAACAGATTTAGAAAGTGGCACATATAAGGTAAGAAGAATATGGTGTAGTTTTAGAAATGCAAATGGTTGAATTTGCTTGGGTTATAAAGTGAGAGAGTAAGAAGAGTGATGGGAAATAAAGCCACTTAAATAAATAAGATCTCAAACGTAAAGGGTTGTATCTCACACTCATATTTTTAGCCTTTATCCTTAGGGTAAGGAGGGGGCAGGAGAAAGACAAGCAGGAGAATATTAAGAACACATTGTCTTAGAAAGAATGCTCAAAATACATAATCTATCTAGTTCTGGCCTTTCCCTCATTTTCCAGGACTTTAATGAGAATTAAATATAATTAATGGAATATAATTTACTTTTTACAAACTAATTTCCCTCTCCTTCCCTATATTGAATACTGGTTAGTATTCAATCAATATTCATTGATTTTAACATCTCTAGGTTTCAAAGTACCAACTACATTTTAGGAATGTGTTGAAGGGTGATGATTATGGAGAAAAATCTTTTGCAAGTATAAGATATTTACTGAGATGAAATAATGCATACATCATTCATTGCGCTATCATATATTTGAATGTGTATGATGTAAGGTGAATAGATAACAAAGGTAGAGACAGAAAAAACATGGGACTGAAATGTAAAAAACAACTTTTCATTCAGGTATAATAAAAATTTAAATTTCTATAGGGTCTGAATTATGAGTGTCTTGTCCCTCCAGCTCAGTGCGTGGTGCATGCATGGTGAGTTCTCAGTAAATATTTTTGAATGAATAAATTGATGGCTCACATTATTTCAAAATAGAACTCCTAATCATCTAGAAAAAGATTTTGTTTTTACAATCATTTCATTAAAGCTTTATTATTTATTCTCCTTTGAAACAGAGATGACTTTGACTTTTTGATAAAAAAGACATGCCAAGTACTAAAGACAATACAAAGAATACAAAAATCTAAAACAGCACCCAGGGCAGTTTATTTCTAGTCAGTTACTATTTTCTCTTACATAAATGTAAATTTAAAATTAGGTTACATGTTATTAACATTTAAAATGTAAATACTTTAATTTTCAGGAATATATATATACATATTAATTGAAATAAAAGGTAAACAACTGTGACCTAAATTCTAGAGCTTACTTAAATTGTACTTACAACATTGTACCAGTAGATGGCACTCAATGAGAAAAATCCTGTTATTAGAATGCACTTTTATTAGAATGTGCTTTTTAAAAAAAGAAAATAATCACTGATTTGTTTGTTTGTTTGTTTAAAAATTAAAATGTACACAGTCTTTGGAAGGTGTTGGTTAAGAATGTCAAAGGGAAAAATCTGACATATTTTGCCCAAGACTGCTTTCTTTGTATTCCTGCTAAAAATAAAGTAAAATAATAATAATAAATAATAATAATAATAATAATGTTGGATCTGAGAATATCTGAAGGAATTACTAAATATTAATATAGATTATAGAGATGATGCAAGCTGGAATATATGTAATTAAGATCTCAATCCAGGAAATTTCATGCTTTGAGCCACGTTACACCTTGTCAATCAAAGTTTCATCAAAGTCACTTAAGCGGCCATCAGCCAAATAAGCCTGTGGTTCTGTTTGAGAAAGAATATCGTCCCACACTTTCAATTTCAACTGGATTCAGAGCGTAATTTATGGGGAGGTAGGTTCACCTCAACAGATGGAAGATTCTCAAGCTATGAACTTTCTCTGAAAGGTGGTTTCCCATTATTTAAGGCATCCTAGCAGGCGCTACTGACTTAATTGTGGTGACACTGTGAGACAGGATGACCCCAATATGATCAGAAATCCCTTTAACATTGTTAATAAGTAGAAGTTTATTGTTTATAAACATTAGCTGCAAATCCAACTTGTCTCCTCCAACCCTCTTCCCATCATGGCCTCTCTACATGAATCTAGTATATCTAAACTGCCCATCCCCTTTTGTCCCCAAGAGATAAAAATTAAAACCTCTAACAATAATATATATATTACTTGTCACCTATCAGAGCAGGTAGGTGACATGTAATATATATATTACTAGATTCAATATTATGTTTATGTTTCCCCATATTCTCCATAAAGCAAAAAAACAAACAAAAAAAAACACACCCATAACCTCCCCACAAACAAACAAAAATTTAAACAGAAAACATAAGTTTTCAAATTCTAACAACTATTCTCTTTCCTCACATGTATCGAATTATCATATGATTTTTAAACAATACTCTTAGATATTCATTTGGGCGCATGTGGATTCTAGATTTTTATAGGTACACATCAGAGCTACAACATTTTTTTGAAACAAGATATTCATATAGGCCCTTTTTTTCCTTATAGGCTTTTGATAGTAGGACCATGAAAATAAAAATACTTTTTAAAGTAAGCTCCTCTTTTTTTTGTAACGATGAAAACCAAGTCTTCTCTGACAGACTTGTAAATAATCGTAGATGTGCATAGATGCAGGAGACAAAGAATAATTGCTAGGACACAATAGGCACCAAGGCCTTCTGTCCATCATGTGCTATAGCAATAGGCATTACCCACACAAGTATCATTATTTCATTATATTTTGAGTGTGAGTTGTCAATCTAGAAATATAATAATGTATGGAGAGAAAAAAATTATATAATTATAGATTATATAAAACAAATGAGATATTAAAACTTTTAATTATTAAAAAATCATTAAAATATATTTTGTGGTAAGAATTGATCATGGTATATAACTAGTTGTAGTCCTGGAGGGGAAAAAAATCACACATTTGTATATTAAATGATATAGCAGAACTTAAATATGGATCTCATAAATACATGCCTAATCCTTGGTTGTTAGAGTTTGTAACACCTCAACCTCTGCTTTTTTTACTTTGATAGTGGGGGGGGGG